GTTTCTGTGATTTCAGATCCTGTTTTATGGGGCTCTTGGCATCAGTGGGTCCTTCTCTTGCTCCCACTGCCAGCTCCAGCCAACAGGCAGCGGCACATTTCACTCAAGGACCAAAAAAACCCACCCACAGCAGGCATCTCAGCATCTCTTCAGGTAGTATTGTAGGTGCCACTTCTAGAGGCCATATTTTTGAAGGCTTTTGGCTGGCTATACAAGAGATCTTTTTTATTCCTTCTACAGTTAGTATTTAGTCTCATTTCCCTGCACTGAAACAAACCCAGCCTCTCAGGAGAGGTTGAAGTGCAGCCAGTCTCACTTTGGAGAAAGCTGGGGCTCTCAGAACTGGGGCTTCCTTTGTCTCCTGGTGTTTGGACTCCCTGTTAGCTCTCCAAACTTCTCAGCAGATTCCCCTTTACTTGCAAAAACATTTATTGTGCATTTTTCTGCCTTGTTTCAACTGTGCCTCAGTTTGGTTTTATAACCACCTCTGCCCTGGTTTGTGTTTAATGGATCAGTGCTTGTGGTTCTTTCGATTTTCTTCTCTGAATGTAACTTGTTTTTAATGACCTCCTGAGCTCTGCTGCTCCTTTTTGCCCTTTTCCCACTTTGTCCTGATACTGATGTGCACTTACACTGCCTCGGTGATCATATTTCTGTTGTTCCCTCAAAAGCTTTTAGCACCTTAGATGTTCCTTTTACCTCCTTAAAAAGGTTCCTCAGTTTTACACAGCTCCCCTTTTCTGAGACCAGGCACAGCTCTTCTGTGGTGCTTTATTGCTGTCCATGGGCCACATCAAATTAAAAGAAGGGCAGAAGGCACCAGAGATTCAGAAATTAATTTCTGTAAATCACCATCGCTTCAGCCAATATTGAAGGAGCACATCCTAAAGTTAAGCACCTAGAGCAGGCAGAGAGCCAATAAGGTTGTTTTCCAGAGGGTCAGAGGGATAATAAGGTTATTTTCATACTTCAGGTTGTGCTGTGGAGGGATTGAGAACAGTCTGAAAGAGATGTGTCACAATGTTATCACCCTGCACCTGCAGCACGGCAGATGTGGCTCAGCCCACAGAAAGGCTGCAAAGGGAATGGGTTATGAAAAACAGCTTTTCTTTTTCACTAGAATCTGAACACATTATTGACACAAAGCAATAGTCAGTGGGGAAAGAGCCACACAAATGACAAACCTTTGGGACTTTACAAACATGCACAGAATTAAATCCTCCTCTGCCTGAGGTGGAAGGGGCTACAACAAATGACAGATTCTTCTAAACTCTTGTTTTCCCCAATGCAACCCACGAGCAGCTTTGCTACCCTTCCCCACATTGCTGGAGTCCTTACACAAACCACTTGAATTTCAGTATTTGCATGTCTGAGGGGAGGAGAAATGTGAATATTTCATGCCTGATGTGTGAAGCATTCCCAACCTCCCCCTGAGTCTCCCCAGGCCATGGTGAAGGCATTGTGTGAATCTGTACCAGAGATAAGCTCCTTCCTTCCTCTCAGGACAGGACATGGAAACAATTTGTTTCGTGCCACCTTCTGTTTCCACATTTCTTAGGTAATTTGTTTGAGGGCTTGAAGTTATCTCTGGCAAACAATTTATCTTGGCAATATTATTTATTTGTGGTGGAAATGGGTTCCAAACCATCAGGACTTGCAGAAGAACCAGAGTCCTGGGGATGTTTTTAGGGTGACAACATCAGCTCTCTGTGTATTGAAACAAGTCTAAGAGCTGCTCCACGTGTTCAGCAAAAATGTGGGGAGGAAAATACTCAACTGATTTGTTTTTAAGATCAGGAGGAAATCAGGAATCTGTGACCGATGCATGGTGCTAAAACACAAGGAAAAAGCAAGCTGAATTTAAGAATTTCTGGTTAGCATAAATGTAAGCTTCTGTATAAGGTCTTAAGCATCTGCAGTATTGCTAAAAAAAGATGTCACACTACCTAACTTTTTTGTAACACCTGGGTAATTCTGGTACCTCAGCCAGCCTGAGATAAAAAGCACAATAATGGTAGATTTCTCAAGGGCTAAACTCACTGTAATTTAATAAAAAATAATCGAATATTCTTTTGGTTTTATTTTTATTCCTGCATAAATAACCTATTAGTTACATTAAGGAAAACACCGAGGGAGAAGGCAGATTTAGGAAACGATCAGCTCTTATGATTTTGCATCTATAAATATTTACATAATTACGTTTGAATAGCAGAGACACTGGCATAGACAAATTTCTTTTCGTATGTGCAACCAGCTGCTGAGAAATTGAAGAAAATATGTCAAATCAAGCTTTTCAGAAGTCCCCAATATTTCAGCACAGAAGAGGAGACAAACAGGCACGTGAGCAGCTGTATTTTATTCACTTATCAGCACACAGCACCCTTGTGCACGGGCTGCCCGTGTCCCACTAGATGGTGGTCATGCTACAAGAAAAAAAAGGATGCAGGAGCCTGCCCGAGTTGTCATTCTTTCTGTCATCCTTCAGCGTTTTTAATTTGTTTTAAAAATATCCTCAGCTCACACACTGCAAGGTTTGCTGTTTTGCTTGTACTTTTTGAGCCACTGGGTCTGCATTTTTCCTAATACACAGCGGGGAAATCCTGAATGAGTGTCATATAATATTTCCATATCAAACAATTTAACTATTGATGTTTAAGCATAGTGAACAACTGCTGAACATGCTCTTGAATTAGGTGCCAAATCACATTCCTGAGGCTCTCAGAAGTGAAATCATAGAATCACAGATGGGTGGGAAGGGATCTCAAAGCTCATCCCATTCCACCCCCTGCCATGGGCAGGGACAGCTCCCACTGTCCCAGGCTGCTCCAAGCCCCATCCAACCTGGCCTTGGGCACTGCCAGGGATGAAGTACAAGTTAATGAGGGACTGTTAATGGAATATGACCACGAAAATGGAATATTCCCACTGCCTCCGTGCTTCTTGCAGGGGCAGGGTGATGTCTCCACCTGCAGAGCAGCACAGTAGGGACCTGGAGCTGCTGCAGAGAGCCCAGAGGAGGCTCCAGGCTGATCAGAGGATGGAGCAGCTCTGCTGGAGGAAAGGTTGGGAGAGCTGGGAATGTTCACCTGGAAAAGTGAAACTTCAAGGTGACCTCATGGCAGCCTCGCAGTGCCTGAAGGAAGCCCACAGGAAAGATGGAATGGCACTGTTTATAAGAGCCTGGAGTGACAGGACCAGAGGGAATGGCCTCAAACTGACAGAGTACGTTTGGATTAGATGTTAAGAGGAAATTCTCCCATGTGAGGGCGGAACACCCTGGCACGGACTGCCCAGCGAAGCTGCGGCTGCCCCATCCCTGGAAGCGTCCCACGCCGGGCCGGACCATGGCGCACCCTAGGACAGGGAGCGGTGTCCCTGCCGGTGGCAGCGGTGGGACGGGAGGATCGCCGCCCTCCATGCCCGCTCCATGAGGGCGCTGCGGGTGTCCCGCCGGTTGCAGGGGTGGGACAGGACGATCGCCGCCCTTCGTGCCCGCTCCATGAGGGCGCTGCGGGTGTGCCCAGCCCCAGCCCCAGCCCTGCCCTCTGTGCCCGCTCCATGAGGGCCCTGCGGGTGTCCCTGCCGGTGGCAGCGGTGGGACGGGAGGATCGCCGCCCTCCATGCCCGCTCCATGAGGGCGCTGCGGGTGTGCCCAGCCCCAGCCCCAGCCCCAGCCCTGCCCTCCGTGCCCGCTCCATGAAAGCGCTGCGGGTGTCCCTGCCGGTGGCAGGGGTGGGACAGGACGATCGCCGCCCTTCGTGCCCGTTCCATGAGGGCGCTGCGGGTGTGCCCAGCCCCAGCCCCAGCCCCAGCCCTCCCCTCGTGCCCGCTCCATGAGGGCGCTGCGGGTGTCCCTGCCAGTGACAGGGGTGGGATGGGAGGATCACTGCCCTCCGTGCCCGCTCCATGAAGGCGCTGCGGGTGTGCCAAGCCCCATCCCCAGCCCTGCCCTCAGGGCCGCGCCAAGGGCGCCCCGCCCGCCGCGCCTGCGCAGGGCCGCGCGCGCGTCCCTTCCGCCTCCCGCGGAAGCGCCGCCCCCGCCGCTTCCGGGATCCTGCGGCTCCTGGGGAGCCTCGGGAGCCGCGGGCGCGGTGGCGGCGGGCGCGGAGCTCCAGCGGCCGGGGCCCGGCCCCAGCGCCCCTCCGCGCCAGGGCAGCGGCGCCGCCACCGCCGCCGCCGCTGCCGCTGCTGTTGCTGAGGTAAATCCGCTGGCGGTCCCTCCCCGCGCCCCGGCGGGTCCCCGCGGCAGGGAGCGCGGTGGCCCCGGGAAGGGCGAGCGGGGAAGGTGAGCGGGGCTGAGCCGCCTCAGGCCGGGCTGAGCGCTGTGGGCGCAGTTCGTGGGGTGTTTCCGCGTCTCCCGTCGCTTTCCGCGTTATTTACATCCCCAAAAAAATTAAAAATTATCCCCCGGCAGCTGCGGGCAGGAGCGCGGCCGTGCCCCGGTGCCCCAGCGCGGGCGGTGCGGAGCCCGGGCTGCCGCCGGCGGAGGCTGAAGGGCAGCGGGGCAGCTCCCGTGTCTGCCTCGCTCCTTTCCGGCCATGCCCCGCCGCCTGCTCCGGGCAGTTCCCCTGCTTTCTGTGCTTCTCCTTTTCCTCGTTTCCAGGAGGGGAGAAGGGCGCTTGCAGGAAGTGGGAATGCAAATAGCTCTCAAACGAGAGGGTGGGTTCGGGCAGCACGGCGTGTGTGTGAGCCGTGCCGTGGAAAAAAGAGATTGGGAAATCACTGGCTACTTTTTGTACTGAATATCCACTGGTGTGATGGTATCGGGATGCAGAATTACAGTGATGTAACTGTTTGCTTTGCTGGAGACATAATGAGGTTGAAGTCGCCGTGACTGTTCACATTAACAGACTTAAATTAGCTCTTTTGAAGTGAATGCTCTCTGGCTTTGAAAATTTGCAGATAAAAAGGAGCCGTACTGGTTCATTAGGAGATGAAACTGATGTGAAATTTTAGTGGTTTGAGATTAGAGTTAAATAGCTGAGATCTCTTTGTGGCTGAAAGGAATTGGTAATACTTTTATCTCTCTAAATACTCTATCTCCCTTCTTGGTTTTCCTTTGGCATGGGATATTTTGTATCATACAGATCTGATGATTTCTTTTTTATGCCTTTTATGAGGGTGGAGAGCTTTTAAAGAAAGCGAATGGATGGAATTTTGCAGTGGTTGAATGGCTGAACATGAAGAACATAGTGGAAATATGAGGAACATTTGAAATGAGGAACAATTGAACATGAGGAACAATTGAAAGAAAGGCTTGAACATTCCTCTAATGAATATTGGAAGTTGCTAGTGAGAATAGTTTAACCAATAGCATTATTTTTTGGGACCTGGGAAGAAGAATCACATGGGTGTAGATGTGGATGTGGATATAATAGCTAAGATAAAAATGTGCTTGCCAGGTTGATATCACAGAGCAATCACTGTGTGTGATACCTGAGCTCTCTTCAGTGGAGTGTGAGGACAGAGCGTGCACTGATGAATGCAAAAATGAGAAATCAAAAAATACTCTCTCAAGTAGGATGTGATCCATGCAATTGCTGTTGGCAAAGAGGTAAAACTTTCAGCTTTCACATGCCAGTGTTGATATTGGTGTGAGCCTGCAGCCTTGTGGGGTCTAATCTGACTTTGAGCCTGTGGCCCTGTTCCAGAAGAGGCAGAAATCAAAGCCCAGCCACAGATTGTGTTCGTGTCCTTCTCAGGTGAAGGTTGTTTCATCCAGGAGCCTTTTGTCCTTGCTGCTGTACCCAGTGAACTTTTGCTGGATCAGATAGTGTTCTTTGCTGGGCAGCAATGTCATGTGGAATGTATTTTCTTTGACTTTCACATTTCAGAGTGAAAGATCTGTTATTGAAAAGATATCCTCTTGAACATCTCTGGTATTACTTTGTGCTTTTATTAAAGTGATTTGGTATCATAAATCTATTCCATGTCTGATAGCAAAGCTTTGTAATACTTTGTATAAACATGAGTTTGGAATACATGCATCAGGGTGTTTTTCTTGCATTTTTAATAACTTCTTTTACTGTGAATTCTCATGTGTGTGTTTTGAGGGTGTTTATAAAGATGCTACTGGCATAAATCATAGAAATGGTTTGGGTTGGAAGGGACCTTAAAGATCATCTTGTTCCCACCCCCTCTGGGAACATCCTCAGCCAGATGGGATTGCTCAGAGCTCCATCCAGCCTGGCCTTCAACAATTCCAGGGATCCAGGGGCAGCCACAGCTGCTCTGGGCACCCTCTGCCAGGGCCACCCTCAGAGGGAGCAATTCATTCTGTAGATCTAAACTAAATTTCTTCTCTTTCAGTTTAAAAAAAGACATAAATACTTCAATGATCAACTTCCCAATAAGACCTTCATAGTTATGCTGAAGTATTTCTGTATATTTCTAAATACCTTTAGTCTGAGGAGGTTTAGAAGCAGCACATCCCCTTTCCACAGCTGGAAAGGAGCAATTCCAGTGTTTCATGATGGGCTGGCTTAAGGAGAACTGTTACAGCAGCTTGAAACTTGACTGTATTAAATATGTGCTTAGTGAATATTCTCTTCAATGTGTGCACACAAATAATCTCACATTAATTCTGTGTTCACTGTGACCTGTCCCTGTGTGCCTGCAGGAGAGCAGAGATGCACCAGGACAAGGAAAGGGCTGCAAGGCATAAATGGGGAATCCAAGAGAGAAGCACTCATTATATTGTAGAACAACAGCAGGGTTTTGGAGGGCTGGTGAGCTGTGCCCCTGAGCATGGATCTGAGGATAAGTTGATGGTACCACTGCAGGCTTGTGTCATGGATCTCCATCACAAGTTTTTCCAGCTGCTCCTCTCCAGAGCTGTGTGTGCTATCCCAGATTCCCAAATTGCTGAGAAGGTGGCTGCTAGACCAGTCCCTGGAAAAGAATTAAAACAGCCACAGCTGACTCTTTAAATGCCTTTGCAGCTTGGCTTGCCTGGATCTGTGATAAAAGGAGGTGATTCTTCTAAATGAGACGTGACTCTGTGCATTATCTGATGTTTATCTGCCAGGGGGGCACAGTCCAAATTGCCCATGGGTGCAGGAGGAGCTTTGCCTGCTTGGTTCACCTCAAACTGCCATGTTCCTGGAGTTAATGTTTATGCTGTAGCCTCTTAGGGAGATTACAGGGCTGTAATTTTGATTTGCCCCCAGTGCTCTGCTTCCAGTTGGGATTTAAGTCCATTGTGTGTAAGTGCTGCAGGATTATTATTTTAATGTGCAATATGTGTTGGTGTCTCTGCAGCTATGGAGAGCAATCAGAAATGTTGAAATCAAGGCATTTTCTTTATTGTGTTACCACTGAAATGGGAGGAATTTAAGGAGCTGTCCATTGTGTAGCTTGAAGGAAAAGGCAACCAAAAAGGTTGATGCTTTGACAGTGATGGATTTTTAGCCTTATAAATATAAATTCTTACTTGTTTAAAAAAATCACAGAGAAATAAGGTTTTATTTTTCCCTACAACATTTTTCTGTTCATCCTCAAAAAATACCAGGGAAAAAGACTGTTCCTAACCCTGAAGTGCCTGGTTTTTTAAATTTAATTACCAGTTCAGGGGCCTTATGAGACAATTAGTTGTGTTGTGTCATTTGTCTTCCTAGTGCCCTTTGCAACCTTCTTCCACTAAACCCAGTGATCCTACAAGGCCATTTTTCTGGTGATCATGAGTTTATAACATAACTTCTTCAAAAGTTGTTTGTGGTTTTTTATTCCAGTAGTACATCAGCATTTTGTCCTGAGTTTCAGTACCAGTGAGGTGCAGATCAGATGAGAATTTCAAATAACACCTAAGAGTGGAACAGGGTTGGGTCAGGTTTAATATAACCACGTGTGCAAACATAACATTGGGCGTGAAGCATTGAATAATTTGGTGTTATCTTCTGGTGCTAAATAAAGATTTGTACAAGGTCACATTAAAAACTGTTGCTTGATGTATGAGAGGTTGAAGTGTAATGCTTTGCCCTTTTGTACTCAAAGAGTAAATTTGGTTGAAAGCATTGAAGCAAATAAATGAAGAGTAGAGGGAAGTTGTGAGCATCTCAGTGGGTTTGCTGAGCTCTTCATAAAGGGAGAGCTTACAAACATTGATCCTCTTCCCTTGCAGGGACCCAGGTGTGGGCAGCTGGGGGGAGAAGGAAGGGGCAGATCCCATGGGAATGCCTAAATCCATTCTCCCTGCAAAGCTGAGCTGAGGGGCCGCTTGCACATAAGCCAGGAACTGGTGAGGCTGTGACAAAGCCAGATGATTTTGCACAGGATTGCAGGTGGGATCAGGGGCTGACTGAACAGATCACGCCCCTGTCTCGGCAGTGAAGTCCCCAGCAGCAGCTGATGGCTGTGAGCTGAATCTCTCACCTGCACAGGCCGAGTGTGTCACTGCCTGCCTGTCATCCCCAGCTCCCCACGGGTGGGTGGCACTGCACGTTAATGGCACACACTCAGCCTGGCTGCTCTGTGTCTCTGCTCAGCTGCCACCAGATGCCACCTCGCTGACAACTTAATGGGTGTGCATTTCACAATATTGTGAAGTTTAAGGAAAGTCTAAAAGCTTATTTGTACAGCAAACCACAAAGCAATCACAGCTTCCTGCAGTGCTACAGAAGATAAGGGGGGTGGTTTTAAACTAAAAGAGGGTCAGCTGGGGTTTGATAGCTGAGGTTTTTCACAGTGAAGGTGGTGAAGCTCTGTCAGGGATGCCTCATCCCTGGAAATGTCCAAACTCAGGTTGCTTGGGGGTTTGGAGCAGCCTGGGGTAGTGGGAGATGTCCCTGCCCATGGTAGATGGTGGCACTAGGTGACATTTAAAGGTCCCTTCCACCCCAATCTATTCAATAATTCTGATATGTTCATAATTAATATTTGCATTACTGTTTGGTCTTGCAGTAGATTGTTTGGGTTTATTTCAATAAGGTAAGAGACTTCTCCTTTTCAATTCCCCTGAACTGGGAACATTTGAAAACGGGTACTGAAGAACTCCCCCAGTAATGTTGTGTTTGGAGTATCTATTTCTAACAAGCTGCTTTCAGAAGCTTTTCAAGAAAGTGACTTTGTATTTGCTGTGGCTCTGAAATGTCAGAATCCTTGTGTTACTTTTAAAATATATTAAGTTAACCTTGCAAATAAGATTGATTTCCACGTACCAAAATTTACTTCAAGTAAATAGAGAATAAAACCAATGAAGAAGAAAACCCTAGGTGCTTCTTTAGGCACTTTATTCAGACAGCAATTCAGGCCCACACCTCTTCTGTTCCCTTCCCCAAATAGAACTGAAATGCAAGGTTCTGTGCTGCAATCCTGCTCCAAGTGCCATGTGGTGATTTCCAAAAGTTAACAACCAAAAATGTCAAGGTTTCAAGTACCTGGTTTTCTCAATAAAACACAGACTTTTCCATTGTAGCTACATGCAGCATGTTTCAGAGTGCTACTGTTGATGTTCTATTATTACTCTATTCTATTATTCTGTACATTATTCTGTTCTATTATTGATGTCTATTATTATTTGTATTTAACAGTATTTTCCTGGTGCAGCTTTGCTAATCACTTTGTTGGTGATGTCTTTGCAGATTACATCAGACATGACTATGTGAATAACCAGGGATAAGCCAAAGGCAGGACAGGATGTCAGAATAACATACAAAACATTTTTGAGGTATTTGTTCTGGTTTGGATTTCTTTAATTGTGCTAAAATTTTTTGGTTGTCTTTAAGACATTTAAGCAAAATGAATGCAGTGATTCTGTGCCATTCCATACTTCAAACATTCCTTTAAAGTTTTAGAAGCCCTTTTTTGATGGTGTAATAACTGATTTGCATGGTTATCTTCATGTTTCAACTGATAATTATGTATTTTTATGGCATTTAAATTTTCTTGACCACAAGGGTTGGTGTTGTCCCAAAATGCTATTTGACTTAATTGGGACAGATTGTAGTTTTAATTTTGAACATTAAGAAAGATCAGGGTGACAAGGGGGTCATATTTAGGTTAAGCTTAAATTACTTTTAAGGGAGATAAAGTTCATTCTTCCCTAAGGTAATTTTCTAGTGTGTGACATCTTCATCCTTGGCTTAGCAGCTGCATTCTGGTGAGAGAGAGGAATTTTGTCCAAAAAAAGCCCAATGTGTGAACAGAAAATACAATTTAACTCCTAGAAATTGTAATAGATCCAAGCAGCAGAGCTGAATTTCAGTTTGTTCTGTTCCACAAGCAGAGAATGTGTCCTTCAGACACCTCCCAGTGTCCTGGGAGCTTCCCAGCTATTTTTGCAGTTGCTCTCACATCTCTCTGCTGCATCTGCACGTATTTATTTTCATTTCTAGTTTCTTGGGTTGCTCCTGCCTGGTTTTCCTGGGCAGAATGTGTTACTCTGATTCCTGAACAAGAATTTCTAAAGGGTTTAGACAAACACAGCTTCATCAAACACCATTCAGTGCCAGTGTCTTCACCTGGTAATGGTCACTTGGACCATTCTGGAGGAACAAAGTGATCCCATATTCAATGTCTTGGCATGGAAATTGAAATTGCAGTGCCATAATCCCTACAGTCATGTATAGGCTGCCTTTAATAAGGGGAGAAAAGGGAGACCTCTGTGTGCCTGTCATAAATCAATAGAAATGCTTTCAGGTTTCTCTCAGACAGGGCCTTTAATAGCAGGAATCAATATGATTTTTAGAACACAGCATACTTTTAAAGCAGCAGGATATTCTTGAGGCCTAATGTTTAAGCTTTAATTTGTCCCCTGTTTGTTGATAGCACTTCAGTTTTGCCATTCCATATCTTTCCTTGGGAGACATGTCTGGAAAATAATTCTGTTTTCATGAGAACTGTTAAGGCTTCATGTCTGGTTTTTGCTCCACGTTGGAAGGACAACAAAGCCCTAAAAGAGTTTTCATGAAATTAAATGAATTAATGTGTTCTTTGAAAATCTGATTCATGTAATCTGTTGCCATGTTCATTTAACCAGAACCATTTGTTTCCCTTAAGGTTGGGCTGATCTGAGACCATTTGATAAGTTATCCAATAGATCTTTGTAACAGGCTTGTGGTTTTTCCAAAACAATAACATTTTTTGTCAACAAATTTAGCTGCTTTCTAACTTGTTGTGCTGTTTGTTGTGAGCAGTGTATTAGAACAGCTTTATTTCCATCCTGGTTTCTTTCTCCTCTTCCCTCAGTTGCTGGGTCAGAATGAAAAGTCTGGTGCCATAATTTGCTGTTTTCAGAGAGACATGAGCTGTAATTTAATGAAGACTTTGCCATTTTAGCTTGAGATAAAAGAAAGAAGTTGAGTTTTTTGACAGAAGAGGAGGAGTGGTTTATGAGCACAGCATGATGGAAATGAAACCAGTCTAAAATCCCTTTGTCAGGCATTGAAATTGCATGTTAGTGGTGGCTTAACTCTGGCTGGACACCCACCAAAGCTGATCTGTGTCTCTCTCTCAGAGAGAGGAGAGAAAATATAAAAAAAAAGATTTGTGGGTCAAGGTAAGAGCAGGAGAGATCAGTCAGCAATTACCATCACAGGCTTGACCTGGGGAAATCAGCTTGATTTATTACCAATGACATTAGAGTAGAATAATAAGAAATAAAAGCAAAACAATAAACAAACAAACAAAAAAAAACCCTAAACCCAAAACCTTAAAACCTGTCCCCCCTTCTTTCATATTCCTCTTGCTGCAGTCACAGAATCACTCAGGTGTCGATCGTAAAAAATCCCAGCTCTATTTTGAACTTGAACAAGCTTTATCTCCCAGAAACAGAAACCCAGAGCCAGCTGTACTCTATTTCCTCATTAATAATTAATAACAGTGATGATGATGATGATGATGATGATGATGGTTGTGCTGTGCTTGTCCCTGCAGGGTGAGGCCAGCAAACCATGCAGTCATCAGGGCACCGTTTCCGCGATGTCGAGCACCACCCGCTCCTGGCCGACAATGACAGCTACGACTCCTCCTCCTCCTCCTCAGAGGCTGACATGGCTGACAGGGTCTGGTTCATCAGGGATGGCTGTGGCATGGTCTGTGCCATCATGACCTGGCTCCTGGTGGTCTATGCAGACTTTGTAGTGACTTTTGTCATGTTGCTGCCTTCCAAAGACTTTTGGTACTCCGTGATCAACGGGGTTCTCTTTAACTGCTTGGCAGTGCTGGCTCTGTCATCACACCTGAGGACTATGCTGACTGATCCAGTAAGTATCCAAGAGTTCCTTGCCATTGGGTTGTCCCATCCATCTGCACAGAAGTTTGGAGAAATCTTCTCCTGCTGGGAAAAGTAGTGCTAGATTCAAAATCCCCGTGCTAGATTCAAAATCCCCGTGCTAGATTCAAAATCCCCGTGCTAGATTCAAAATCCCCGTGCTAGATTCAAAATCCCCGTGCTAGATTCAAAATCCCCGTGCTAGATTCAAAATATTTGTGTTAGAGTCAAAATATTTCTGTTAGAGTCAAAACCCTCAAGGTTTGGATGATACCTGTTCTTATCATCAGGATGGTACCTCTACTTCTCCTGTTACTCTATTAATGAAGCCATAGAACAGTAACTGTAAAATTTATAAAAGTGTTAGACTCAAAAAAAACCCAGTAAAATATTACTCCAGGTCCTGAAGTAGCTAATAAAGTTTAGTCTTCTCTGTCCTCATTTTTCTTACTTTTTTTTCATCAGATTTATACAAAATCAAAATTTGTACCTTCATCCTTTTGCATCCCTTGAAATGCTCCCACTTGCGACACATGAAAGAACTTTTAGAGGTGGATGTGCTGCAAAACCTCAGGCACACTTGGCATAATGGAAAAACCACTGTCCCATGTGACTCCTGCATTTTTGTCTTTGAATATTTGGAGAGGGAAGGGAGATTTAAACTGAACACACCTTGAAGCATTGTAGGTGTAAGAGTGCAGATTCAAGAGCACTCTTACACTCTTGAAAGTGCTCATTTCTTAGAACTTTTACTCCTCAAGGTTTCAAGAGATTAAATGGTTGATTTTGTACTAAAATCTATTACTATTTTTAGGGAATAAATCTGGGAAAAACATCTCTTTTCTCCAGATTTTTGGAGAAAAATGGAGATTTTTCACCAGTAGGAGTGTATAGAGAAACATTCAAAAACCCAGCAGGGTGTTGTAGTTAATGATTTTCTAGGTCTTTGATTTACTTCTGTCCACACCCAGTGATGAGATATCACAACTTCTACAAACTGTGACAGCTCAGAGAGTTAATGGTTTAAGGATTTACTGCTTATAAATATGAGCTGGTGAAACTGGGTGTCTTTCTAGACCTGTGGTGTTTTTTATCATCCTAACTGAGATGAGTCACTGCTTTTTTCCTCCATTCCTTTCGTGCTGGCTCCCAGAATGGAAGGCACAACTGTGTGATAGAAACTAAGATGAAAGGAATGAACTGCCTCAAAACTCATGTGAATTAAATTTACACTTGTAACTATAAAAAATAGATTGTTGCTGGCTGGGCTGTGACTGTGAAAGATGTTTTTGAAATAGAGTATATTTTTGTCAGCAAAATGCTTGAAAGCACGGTCTGAGGTTCTGATCCTTGTGGCAGGTGAATAGGGCAGTGTGAGATGTTTACACCAAACACTGACTGGGGTGAGAATGTTCAGATTGCAAAATCCAGCTCAGGAGAACAACATGAGTGCTGAAGGAGTCCCTGTGTGCCCCTGTGAGCACCACTCAGCCACAGAGCTCACCTGGGACAGGACCTGGGCTGTGGCCTGGCCAACACAAACACAAATTTATTATTCCAGGCCATAGGTAACAAAAACTCCCTGCCTCAGCTGAGGGGTGTTTGGCAGTGGAATCTGAGTTCCTGCTGGCTTCTTAATTCTGTCCCAGATGTTCTTAAGGCGTCTGTGTCAAGTGCTGATGTTGCCAGGGTTTTTTTTGAATGAGCATTAATTGCAGAGTGTTGCAGTTGGCTTAGGCTGACGTGCACAGGGCTCTCCCTGTGTGAAGGAAGTGCTGACCTGGAGCAGTTGTACAGAAAGGCCACTTGGCTGTCACATCCCAGTTTGTTTCACAATCACTTCCCCCACAGATAAGGTTTTATCTCCATAAATGAGCAGGGTGACAATGATGCTGTCCATTATTTTCTCCTTACTAATCCAAATTTAGATGCTGATCTCAGGGTGCAGCTCTGTGATAATCAGATCAGAGAACTAATCACTAAAAGTTAATTTCTTTTCCCAATCAATTATTTTTCTTTTGAATCAGTTCCTTCAAATCTTTACCACAAAGGTGCACAATAAAGAGGAGTAAAGAAGGCAGTGCTGATCCTGCTAACAGTGTCCAAACTAAAGATTTTAGAAAGAAAAATTACAATTCTCAAAAACTTGGGGCAGGTGGTTAAACCCTGGCTTCAGACAGTTGAAATAACATCTTTCAAGTAGTTCTGATTTAACTTTTGTGGGTGGCTTGGCCCATTAATCAAATGCCACAAGAAATATTCAAGGTAACTGCTCAGCAAATGATGGGCAGTGCTTGTATCTGCAGGGTAAGATGTGTCTCCCTCTTCATTTCTGTGGGCTGGTCACAGGATATTCTATGAGAATTAAGGTGATACTTGGCCAGGGATGAGCCTTGCTGGAATAAAGCTGAATTTGAGGTCGAGCAGAGGTAATTTATTCATTTGGAATTGATTCTGGCTTATAGCAGACTGGCTTTGAATAAATGAACTTATTTCAGCAGTTATCCTGAGGGTACTGGTATGAAGTCTATGAAATGTATTTTTAAATGCTCTCATGCCATTTAAGAAGCTTTTTCTCCTCTAATTGAAATGATTTCAGGGGGCTGTGCCCAAAGGAAATGCCACTAAAGAATACATGGATAATTTGCAGCTGAAACCAGGAGAAGTGATCTACAAATGTCCCAAGTGCTGTAGTATCAAACCTGAGCGTGCACACCACTGCAGGTATGCCAGAGTTCCTTCAAGAGTTCTGCATTTGGAGGCCTGGAATAACATTCCTGATGTTTGTTCATTTTTTTTCCCCACACAAATTTCTTTTGGTATCCACTCAACTTTCAAATTCCTACATTGCAGAGTATTTTATGAGTGTAATGTACAAAAAATGACTGTGGATAAGGGGAGAGAAGTAAGAAACTCTAAGATTTTATTACAATAACTGTGCTCTGGTGTTTTAAATAATTTTGATCAGTAAATATCTTTTTCTGTACATCATTCCAGTTATTGTGTGTGCTGTGGGTAATGTAGGGCAAAGAAAAGAATCTCAAATTTCTGAGGGAGCTGATTTAAGAAGTGACTCCTGCAGCCTTAAATGAACAAAATTTAGAGTAGTTTAAAATGATTACTTTGTGTCATGTCTTCTTTGCAGTGCATTTGAAGTTATATGTGAATTGGCAGATTATTTTCCCAAAGTTGCACGAATAATGGGTTAAATGCACTTCCACTTACTGAAAATCCATTTGAATAAGGTCAGAAATGATGATCATTTGAACTAAACATGCTATGGAAGAGATAGTAAATGTATATTTTTAATTCTCAATCTTTGGAGTTTCCAGGCCCTGTGGAAATGCTTTTGTAGTGTTTATTGTGTGCCAGTTGAAAATAGCTGTGCCTGCATAATCAGGGCTTACATAAAGATGCAAATGCTTCTGGTGGCTCTCTAGGTGTGGGGAGTGATGTGTGTTGAATTGTGAGAAGTCCTAAATTGAAATCTCTGCCTTAGTGCCTGTCAAAAGAACAGAGCAGAGTCTTGTCAGGACTCTGAGATGCTTCTGGAGCTCTGTGGGTTCTAAATTAAAAGCCTCATGTGTGTGTCAGTGCTCGGTGCTACGGCTGAGAAGCTGCTCCCATTTATAAATACTCAGCCTTGGCATGGAGCTCCTGTTCTTCTGTCAGCTCTGAGTGGGATTTTGGATCTGGAGTGTGAAGGGAGAAGTTCCCTGCATAAACAGGCGAGGATGGAGTGGTCTGCAGTTGCTTTGTGTGTGCTTCAGGCTGGCTTTGCTCAGGTGCACATCCCAGGGCTGCCTTGCTGTGCAGGGATGCTGCTGCTGCTGCTGCTGCTTGGTCAGCTCAGGAGCGCTCACTGGAGGGTGGCTGGGGGTGAGGCAGCACAGCTGCTCCCAGAGCATCCATCCCTGGGGACCCAGGAGAGCTGGGCAGTGTGCACAGGGCCTGGCTCTGTGTCCATGGGGGACAGCTGGCAGCCCCTGCCAGGATGGGCTGGATCTCAGTCATTTCCTCACCCCAGATTGAGGTTGATTCCTACACAGACCTTGCAGGTATCTATGGAAAGCATTTCCCACATCCCTGCTCCTGGTAGAATTTGCTAATTTGGAAGGAGCCCTAAGTGAAGACGTCATCTGTTGAAATACTCCAGCTCTTTTTCTGTCATATGTATCAGACATCCTGGAGCTCAAATGCCTTCTTTAGAGCAAGAATTTGAGCAACATTTATTTTTAAAGCAGAGCAAGGATGGATAATGTCTGTGATAAAGGAAATACCTGATATTTTCAAAGGGTTTTTTTTTTTCCCAAGCACCTGTTTGGGGATCCAGCTTTGTCTGTCTTAGGAATTGTTTTAATCCTTGATCAAATATTTTACCTTAGGGGAAAGGAGGCATTTTGGGGCTTGCTCAGTGCATCCCTGGCTCCACAGAATATCTGAAAGAGAAAGCCAGAGCCTGAAGGTGTTGTGAGGCTGCTGTCATGTTTTTCTCAGCAGCTGGATTTCTGGTTTAATTGTCTGTTTCTGTTAATTTGATTCTTTGCCTTCAATTTATCACTGCAGGAGTTTACCCAATAGAAAATAGGTTTGTTTGATTATGCTGCCAATTTCTTTATTGGTTTGCAAACCCATTCCAAGGACATTAAAAGGATGATCTAGTCCCAAGTATTTAAAGTGGCAATTTGCTGATAGAAAAGGCTTGAAAATGGAAATTGAAGTTGGTTGCTGTTGGGAAATACTTACACTCAGAGAGAGCCACAGTGCATGTTTTCAGTAGTAAATTATTAACAGAAGAGACTCTTAGGATGTAGTTATGAAAATTGTTGTGCAACACTGCAACAGAAGTTCTTTAAAGGAAGAAAAATAGTTTCATAATACACATTAGTGATGGGGAAAAGAGCAAGAACCTTTTATTTACAGCTAAGCAGCTCTGCAATAAAGTGATGCAACTGAAGTGATGTTTTAGTGAGCAGTTAACATTTTCAGCACAGGGAAGAGCCCTATCCTGAGTGAATGGGATTTCATTTCCACTGAAGGAGCTCAGCTGTCATCATTTCTGCCTGTTCTGAGTGCCTGTGTTTGTGTGTGGGGAGCTGCTACTCTGAACAAAGTCACTGAGATGTTTCCACCAGGCTCCCAGGGAATATCTGTTATCCACACCCATTGCTCCTGAGTCTTTAGCTGTGTCTTTCTGAATGTTATCTTTGGCATTCTGAGCTGTAATTGCACCTGCCTGAGTCCATGGAGCAGCAGTTCCAGCCTGGAGGAGAGACTTTCCTCCATCCACAGGTGCTTGTTCTGTTTGCTTCTCCCTGGCTGCAGCTGAAGGAGGGATTTCCCCAAACTCCTGCTGCAGAAAAAGGAATAAAATCCAAGGGATGGGCTAGGAAGAAGGCAGAAGCACTGCTGGAAGCATTGCTGTGAGATTGTTGGTGGCAGATCAGGAATGAAGGCAGGGTTCCAGATATCTGAGCTCTTGTGAGAGCTCTGTGTGGGCTTGTGAGAAATTCTGAATGAGCAGAATCGAGTCCTGCCCACCTCACATCCTCCAGCCCTCAGCTCAGTTGAGCCTGGGTAGGGTTTTACTCAGCACTTCACATTAATATTGCTTTTTGGAGTGCTGGCATAGATTCTGTGGCACATCAGGAGCCTTGTCTGGTTGTGGTACTCAGGGAAATGAGAGGCTGAACTTGCAGGCAGCAAGGAAAGTCCTTGGAGGAGCCTCCTGAATGCCCCCTCCTGAGTGATACCCACTTTTCCTGCACCAGAGAGTGCTTGTGGTGTTCATCTATTGGGATTTTCACTTGTATTTAGAAAATCATTTGTAGCAGAGGATGAATCCTCTTTCATGTCCACAAAACAAGAGGCAGGGGGAATGCAGGGGCTGGGTTTTGATAGCCCAGAGCAAAGGCAGCTTCATTTGGGGTTCTACCCCATGACCTGTACATGGAGTGTTCTGCCTCCTGCTGAATTCCTTTAGAATCATACAAATGTGACAACTTAACAATTATTTTCTGCCTCAGAGCACTGATTTCCCCCCACACCTCCCTCTTCTGTCTCTCCAGTGAGAGTCACCCAGCTTTGCTTTGTGGTTTGTCCCTGCAACACTTGTAGATACCACACCTAAATCAGCCTGTGTCAAAAACAATGGGGTTTCTTTCAATAACAGGGCCTGCATTTTTTAGGCTTATTTGGCTTGGTGACTGCTGAAGTGAAAATGTTTAATATTCTGGATATTCTGTGGGAAAATCTGGAGCACTGAGTGTGTGGCTGTCTTAAGTACAAAGCTGGGAAAATGGAATATCAGCATTGCTCAAGCTATTGATTTATGAAGAACTACAGCAGATGTTGCAACTGTTTCATTTTTGGTGTGTAATTCTTCACATTTGGCTGCAGAACTGAGCCCTCTGCTGCTGTATGGCAGATGTAAAATGGAGTTATTGGAGCATTTCTTTGACTTCTGTGGACATAACCTTGACTCAAAACTGGGCAGGAACAAGTGAACCAGCAGAGAACAGGAGTGTTCAAGAACTCATGGACAAGTAGCTACTTGATAAATGCTGCTTATAATTTCAATATTTGTGTTTTCTCTTGAGGAAGTGAGGTTTGATACTCTAAGCTGTGCTTTAGTTGAGATTTTAATTGCATAAAGTTAGAATTTTATGGCTGAGACCTCAAGAGTGACAGTTTCTCCCTTGAAGATAAGAATTTCTTGTGTTTCTTCTTATCCACAAACAAAATTTACAACTTGAAAGCCTGTAAAAGTGAAATATTTATTTTATCTAAAAAACTTATCCAGAAGGGAAAGGGTCTTTTTAATACTGCATGAGAGAGAGGTGAAGCTTTGCTTGTTCTGAGCTGCAGGTGTATGAAGGTCTGGATTTGTTTTCTTGTGAGGAGTATTTTATGTCCACAGTCCATTTTGGAACAACCAAAAGCTGAGCTGTGAGAGGGAACAAAGAGTTTCTTTAAAGAAATGCAAATAAAAGCCCTGTCTGCAGTTTGTCAAGAAATATTTCAGCACATCATCCAGTGACCACTGGCTGCCCTTGTTTCTACATTTCCAATGCAATTTCTCAGCAGAAGCCTCTTGTCCTTTTTTCCAGTATTTGCAAGCGATGCATCCGAAAGATGGATCACCACTGCCCCTGGGTGAACAATTGTGTGGGGGAGAAAAATCAGAGATTTTTTGTTCTGTTTACGGTAAGTGAGCAGCGACAGCAGCTTGGTTTTAGTCTGAATTTTCCTTGGTTATAACAATTTAGGTGGTGCTTGGTGAGTAATGGCTTTAGGACATGATTGTGTTGTTAAATTGGGTGGGTTTGTTCCTTCTGTGCAAGGTAATTCTACCCATGTTCATTTTAATTTTGTGCTGTTGTTTCAACGTTTCTTCTTCAAAGTTGTGCTTTGTTTTATGCAGTGCCAGTGAGTGAAATGATGCTGTCTCTTGTTTGCAGATGTACATAGCCCTAATTTCAGCTCATGCTCTTGTACTCTGTGGATTTCAGTTCTTCTCCTGTGTCCGAGGGCAGTGGACTGGTGAGCACATAAATACTGAATTTTCATTATCATAATCTAGCAGATATTAGGGAAAAGTCACAGCATTCCTATTTTAGTCCCATCTTTCAGTGATATCCTTAAAACATTTCAGATCTCTTTATCCATCACTCTCCTTTTCCTTTCTGGGTTTTTCCCCCTTTTCCTTCAGTCGTTCTCTGTAAGAGCTGAGGCTGTCAGGGGCATTCTCACTCCCTTTACACTCAGTAGTAATTCACTACCTCTGTAGTAGGAAGGAAACTGAGCTTAGCACTACATCTCCTAACTCTGGGCTCTGTGTGCCCCACCTCAGTTCTGGGAATGACACCTGAAATTTAAACAGATTTCTCCCTCTTTGCATTACTGGAGCTCAGCTGTGGGGCTCCTGCAGAAAAGAAATTCCCTGAACTATCCCAGTTTTTTTTTATTTAGGCTTCTGGCTTGTATTTCTTACTGTTCCTGTGTGCCAGAGCTCATTCTGGTCTTGTGCTTTTGGTATATGAAGCAACTGGGAAATCCATGTGGTTTTTATTTTTTTCTGAGTATTTCATTAAATAGATGGAATCTTACAACTTTGTTTCAATTGAAACATTCACCTTCCCATACATTATCCCTGTTTAAATATAACTGAGTTAATCAGGTGATCAGAGGCTCTCCAGAGATGTGTGAGGCAGGACTTGATTACTTTGTGTGGAGAATGAAAATAAAAAGAGTAATAAAGCAATGACAGCCAAGTGGAACATCTGTATTAGCAAGTCAGGGCTGACAGTGGGGATGGTTTTGCAGTCTCTGTCATGCAGGAAGCTCCAAGCTGCTCTCCCATTTTCAGTTCTGAGTTCTTCACTCCCCTCATGTGCAAACATTTGTTTGGTACCCTTGAAATCCTGAGGCAGGATTGCAGAAATAGTTACCATGTGCTTTATAGGAAGCCAGAAGTGTTATTTCCATAAAATCCTTTATTTTCTTGATCAGCAAACAAAGCTGCTGCAAAATCAGAAGTTTGTTTTAAATGTGAAATATTATTTCAAGTGCCAGACATGTAGGACAGGCTCTATAATTTTATAATTTGCTGGTTTTTTTGGTGTTTTTTTTTTTGTAACTACAATATTTCATTTTCACAGAGTGCAGTGACTTCTCCCCACCTGTAACTGTGATCCTGATGATCTTCTTGTGCCTTGAGGGTTTTCTGTTTCTCACTTTCACTGCAGTCATGTTTGGCACCCAAATCCACTCAATATGCAATGATGAAACGGTAAAAACCCTGACTTTTTTGTATTCTGTAAAATTTATTCTGGGAGGATGTGATCAGATGTGGTTTTATTTGCATGAGGAGAGGCTCTTATTTCAGAGAAAGCTGCAAAACTTCAGTCGTTCATAATTTTTATGTTTTGCACTTGGAGGAAGATTGGAATGGTTTACTGGGGGTTGCTTTCTAACAGAAGTTCCTGCACTATTTGCTTTTTTGACATTTTGTTATTTGGTTTAGAAATGACAAAGAATGCAGAGCTTCTGAGTTAAGGTTGGACTTTCCCTTCTCAGCTGGCACAAATTCCTGCTGGGTGCCACAGGAAGTGTCTGCTTTTCTCAGGTTTACACTGAAAATTATTCTCTCTCACCTCACTGTGATACATTTTATCAGAGGATAAAACAGAGTTTGGGCCATTGGCTCCCTTGTCCTTAGATCTGCAGTGTCACACCTGGAGAGAATAATTGCTTGGAAACATAAGGAAATTGAATCCTGTGACTGTTCAATATTTTCTCATGTTTGAAAGTGTATTTCTGTACTGAGGAGTAAGTGCAAAACAACTGGTAAATATTGAGCCTTCATTAGTGGGAAGCACCAAAAATGACCATCAAAATAATGCATTTGGGACAGTAATCCTGTCTCCAGTAATTGTGGAGCAGGAGCCCTATTGTCTGCTTTCATTAGTTGAGTAAACAGCTTGTAGTGCAGGATATTGCACATGGATCCATCAGCTTTTCTGGGATTTTTGTCTTTTAGCTTGAGGGGGAAAGAGATTGAGATAGATCAACCTTCTTGTGCATATTTTATGTTCTAAATCTTCTTCCCTCTATCCTCAGGGCTAAAACACTTTCTAACTCATCCCTTAATAATTAATAAATTACAGTAAGAAACTAATCAGCTGAGGCACAACACAATGAAACAGCACAATAAAAATGCCAGCCCGGTTTTTTACAACCAGGTTTTTATATTAGATTAAACTAAACCTTGGACATGCCTGCCTGTGTTCATTTGCAGGAGATTGAGAGACTGAAGAGTGAAAAGCCCACGTGGGAGCGCAGGCTGCGCTGGGAAGGGATGAAATCTGTTTTTGGGGGCCAGCCCTCCCTCCTGTGGATCAACCCCTTCGCAGGATTTCGCATCAGGAGACTCCTACTGCGAGGGAAGAAAGGAGGACCTGAGTTCTCTGTTTGAGTCTAAATATGCTGGAACTTGCAAGAATCCTATATAGTATTTATTTTGGGGCCAGAGAAGGCTGTCTACATATAATCTGTGACCAGGTGAAACTGATATCAGACATTTGCTTGTAGCAAGCAGAGTTTTCTACGTTTATTTGTCACAGACATCTCATTAATTCTGAGACAGGAACTGGATCTGCCATGATCTTCACAGCAGGATAAGCACGTGGTCACACTAAAGAAGCCAAATGTTGTCATGCTACTGTAATTTATTTTCTGAGATTACTTCCCCATTTTTTTGTTAAACCCTTTTTATTTGATAAATGTCTGGGGAATTACCTGTGTGTTTTTATAATGAGTCTAAGTCCTTGGATGCAGTTGTCAATCATTAGGAGGAGCCTTCTGGTGGAAGTTGATCTCCAGTGAGACACAGCCTTCCTTGTCAGTCCAGATTTCAGGGAATTGTGCTTTGTTCAGTTCTCCATTCTCTTTCAGCTTGTCCTGATAAGCAGAGCTGTCCCTGTGTGTCCCACACACTCCTCATGTGCAGGTGGTGCCCAGGACTGGTGCCCAGCACTGTCACACCCTGCCCTAAAGCATGGCCTGTGCTTGGCAGTGCCCATCCCATCTGGCATTTGGGGAAAGGCTGAATTTTCACCTGTAACCTGGCTGGGGGCCAGATCCTGCCCTGGGATGTGCATTTCCAGTTCCTCCTGCTTTGGTTGCAGAGGAACTCAGGTGTGGACTGCACAGGGATGAGTGGGACCAGTGTCCTGCTGTGTGAGGTGACAGTGAGTGGACAAACTGGGGGTCATTCACTGCAAACACTTTGTCCTTGTAGGGTCTTGCTCTGCCCCTTTTTTACTGAACACACCTTTCATAGAGGGAAAGCTCCTTCCTGATCCCTTGGACAAAGACAGCAGAGAAAGAGGCAACTTCCCTCCTTTCTCAAGTACAGCACATCTTAAATGTAGAAACATCTGCAATATTCTTTTGAATTTAACCATTTCCAACCAAAACCACTTTGAAGAAATGAGAGCAATATAGATCTAGAACTGCTTTATGTGGGCCTGACAAACAACAGTAGTGCTAAAAATGTTTATAAATCTGCAAGTAATGAAATACAAGCTGCAAGTAATACAAATCCAGCTAAAAGTTGATTCTTTGAAAATGACATTTAGACTATTTTTTGTATTATTGTTAACCTATAAATTACTGACCATGTAAAGGATAAAGCAGGAGCCATGATGCATAGCTTGAAATCGTGCCTAGAAAGTAAATAGCTCCCTGTTTTGGGACTTGCCTTAAAATTGTCCTGTTCTTGCTTTTGCTCAGCCAGTGGCACTGGTGACCTGTCCCACCTCCAGCAGCTCAGAGCCCTGCATTCCACCCTTTGTGCCCTGCAGGAGCTGTTTCCTTTCTCAGTGCCCTGCTTCTCCATCTCTCCGTGGCATCCTGGTCCCAGCTCCATCAGTTTCTGTTCCATGGGGTGGCTGAAGGCTCTGAGGGATCCATTTCTTGTCTGTGCCCTGTGAACAAAACTGTGCAATACTTTGGGGTGTTTTCACTTTGCTTTTGGGGGAGGGTGGTGGTGTGGAATGCTGGAGCCTTCCCTAGGTGGAAATCCACTGGAATTGAAGTCCTGTGAACAAAACTGAGGGGGAAGCTGGAGGTTCCACAGGATTCTGTGCAGATTCAGTTGCACATCTTAAAGACTGGGGAGAAAATAAAGGTGTCTGGCTTTGTCCTGAGGCTCTTACTGTGTAAATTGTTCAATGGGAAAATCAGAAAATAGCACTCCAGGTGGTTGGACCCTGTGACTTGGCAAATGTGTGCGTGTGAAATCCGGTTTACTTGGCTTTTCAAATCCTTACCTTGTAATTTTTTTTTTTAATGTAAAAAAGAATAAACTAATGAATTGAAGTCTTAGTTGATTAACTTCTCTACATGTCAAGGTTTTTTTTCACAAATATTTAGATTGAAGCTGCTTCAGGGAAATAGTCTTGAATCCTTTGGTTTGTAATTATTTCATATTCATATTAATTAACTGCTCCAAATTAAAGAGGTTCTTCTGCTTATTAAGAATTTTAAGCTACACTCTTTTAGCCCTTCTTGGTCATTCTATTTTCTTCATCCTCTGGTGTAATTGCCTATTTTATTATAGAACCATGGAATGGTTTACATGGGGAGGGCCCTTAAAGCTCATCTTGTTCCCACCCAGTTTGTCTGAGGTGAGTGGGAAAACACTTCCAGTCTGAAAACTCACCTCAGTGTTCCAGCCTTTGCACTTCCAGGGAATTTGGGATAAATACAGGTTTGAGTCTCCAGATTTTCTGTGCAAATGTTGAATTTTCCCTCTGTTTCTGCAGCTTCTGGAGCAAAGAGATTTCTGAGCCTGGAGAGCAGCAGGTTGGGAGTGTCCACCCAAACAAGGGGGAAGAGGAACAAATGGCAGGAAAGGATGGGGAGACTCAAAGCTGTTCATTTCCCCTTTGCAATAATTCTAAAAACCACTTTGAGATATTTTCTGGGTCTGTATCACACTCTACTCTGATGTTTCTATGGAGAAAAGAGCTCCAAATCCATGAACACAGACTTTGTGCCATTGCTGCTGATATTTTGGAGCAGGTTAATGATTTGGTTGTGTTTATGTGTTTTAAGGAAGAGTTTGTTTATTCTCTGAAGGGAACAGATGGATCCTGCCAATTTATCTCCTTTTTATTGTCTTGTTTAATTTCTAGTAGTAATGTCAGTATTGTTCCAGAAATCCTTTTTGAGGTCTTGAAATTAGCAAGAATTCATTTATGGATTTCTTTATGCCTGTTTTGTGCAGAAATGATGAATTTCTATAACTGTTCTGCTTCTCTCTGTTGGCTTCAGGGCCAGTGCTGTTGGAGAAAGAAAATGGCTTAAGGGGTTTTGAAATACAGAAATTGGGCTGTACAATTATTCTGGAATCTGTTAATAACACTAAAATTAAGTGCACCAGCATTGGTTCTGTATATTTATTATTTTTTTTCTTCTGAACAGGGTTGCAGGTCAATTTTCATTTTAATGTGCTGGTGCTTCTTCATTGATGAGATTGTTAATTTTTTTATTCTCCTTCTTTCACTTTGTCATGGCTTTTTGTGTTCTGAATATATTTTTTTAATTTTTTTTCCTGCCTGTATTCCAGTAGCACATCTGCTCCTGTCCTGCACTTCACTCTTGTCATCCCCAAGCAGAGCCCTGGAAATTATCCAGCAGGCATCAAAGCAAGCACAGGCTGCTTTTTAATAACAGAAACAAAACTTTGCACCTCCAAAATACTTCTGCAATTTCTCCTTATGTTATAGTGCAGCATAAAGTTAATATTGGACCCACATTCAGTGTTAAAGATGCCAAATGTTAGAATTGGCAAGGAAAGGGATAACTCTGAAATATTTCAATATTTTCTTGCCTGAGGTGTCCCATTCTGATAAGTTGGCACCTGAGAAGGGAAATGTTATTAAATTATGGCTTTGAACCTCTTTTGTTAACAAACCATGATTGCAATAAAATAGTCACTTGCAAGGTGTGTTTGCCTAAGAATATTGGTTTAATTAGAGTGAGGTTTGAGATAGGGAAGCCAGGGAGATTCACAGCAAAACTCTCTATTTTGGGCCTTTATTAGAGTGCATTATTGTTGCTGCAGACCTTCACCAGACCAGCTGAACACTGGGGCCTGAGGCTGATATCCACAGGTGCATGGACAACTTTATTTTCTTCTTGGTTTGTGAATTCCATCAGTGGAAGCCAGGCTTTGCAGCCAGAGGTGATTCTTTTTAATGAAAAATAGATATCTGTATTGGAGAAATCAGTGGAGAACCCTGGAAACTTGGTTTTGAATTCAAGAAAAAAGGCAAACTGTCCGGATGAAATACGAGAATATGGAATTTATTTCCCCCATAGATTTATTTTCTTACCATTAATGAGTATAAATGTACATTTAATGTCTGGAAGAGGAATGGGATGGAGCTGCTGGAGGCACTGGAAGTTGCATCTGTCATGCAGCAGGAATGCCTGCAGTGGAACCTGCTCTCCAGATAGAGCTGTTTCAAATCAGGCCTATCAGCAGAAAGTGTCAGCTCAGATTCATCAGAGGCAGGAGAAAAACAAAACGTCCTGATCCAGGTGAAACTCGAGCTGCTCTCTGGTGGCTTTCAGCTCTCTCTGGTGCTGCAGAATGGCAATGCTGAAATTGCCCTGCTGCTGCTGGAAGTCCTGATGCTCCTCCCAAGTTCCCTTTCAGGGCTGGGATTGTGTTTCCTCCAGCTCCAGGTGCTTCCTCAGCAGCTCCAGGGGCTCCCAAAGCCCCTCTGGCCTCCACCAGCTCGGCTTTGCCATCAGCAGGGAGGGGTGGCTCAGGAACCAGGGATTCTCCATCGTGTCCCAGGGCTCAGGATGGCCACTCCTGATCCCACAGTGCCTGTTTGGCAGAGGTTGGTGCACAAATGAGCTTAGGTTTTGTGGAAATCTGATCATTTACTTTGTAATAAGGTCCCATTCATTCAAATCAACTCCATAGCACAATGACAGCACTTTGGGAACTCTTGGGGCTGTGTAGTCACCACTGGGATTATTTCATTTGTTGTTGAACTGCTGATTAAATTTTACATTAAGGCAGAAGCACCTTGTTTTAAATACAAACCCTTTTTATGAAAAGTGGCTCACAGACTTGCCTCTTCCTTTTCTTGGCTAATTTAGAGCCACATTGCAGGCATTACAAAGAAATACAAAACTACAGAAAAATCACACCTATGTACTGGGAAAAGGTATTTTGGGGCACTTGCTTCTTCCAAAAATGTTTGCAGGAGATAACAAGCAGGGTTTGGGATAAGTCAGCCTTGATTTGGGGTTTACCAGAGCAGCAGCCATGGTAAGAGGCAGAAATCTTTGCTGCTGCCTGGTGTTAGAGGTGCTCACAAGGTAGAGCCCATCCACTTTGGCTCACAAATGGACTCTGGATATACTGGAAATTGTGGAAAATAGCAAAATGTTGGCATTCCTGATCATAAAAAAGAACTGGACAGCATTAAGTGTTGGCTTCCCTATTGGGACAAGGCCCCTCTGGGTGGAATAAGGCCTTGGCCTTCTGAGGATTGTGATGATATTTTTCCTACAGCTTAACAGGAGAGATGGGAGTGCAAATAATTAAATTTATGCTGGGAATAGACCTTTTAATCCCAATTGAGGCCCTGCTGTGTGCACACAGGAGCTGTGCAAGGCACTGGGACTGACGGAGGCAGCGAAGGGTCACGAGCCACAGTCACAAGCCCTGAAAACCCAAAATGCTGCCAGTCCTGGCCCTGCTGAGGAGGGCACCACCCCAATCCTTGTGCCATGCATTTGTGAGCCAGCCCATCCACTGGCCTACAAATGGACTCTGGATATACTGGAAATTGTGGAAAATAGAAAAATGTTGGCATTCCTGATCATAAAAAAGAACTGGACGGCATTAAATGTTGGCTGCCCTATTGGGACAAGGCCCCTCTGGGTGGAATAAGGCCTTGGCCTTCTGAGGATGGTGATGATATTTTTCCTACAGCTTAACAGGAGAAATGGGAGTGCAATTAATTAAATTTATGCTGGGAATAGACCTTTTGATCCCAATTGAGGCCCTGCTGTGTGCACACAGGAGCTGTGCAAGGCACTGGGACTGATAGAGACAGCGAAGGGTCACGAGCCATGGTCACAAGCCCTGAAAACCCAAATTGCTGCCAGTCCTGGCCCTGCTGAGGAGGGCACCACCCCAATCCTTGTGCCGTGGGGGTGTTCCTGGTGGGAATTCCGTGCTGGGGCTCCTCTGCAGGCTGTGTCTGGGCCCGGCTCACGGGCGGGGAAGGGCGGGAGCGGCGGCTGCGGGCAGGGGCGAGCTGTGCGCGGCCTCTGCAAAGAGAAAGGGCCCGGTTCACTGTCAGCACGGATCCCACCGAGCTCCCAGCTCCTCCTTCCTCCTCTCCCCATCAAATCTCCTGCTTGGGCATCGCTGTGTGAGGCAGCAGCTGCACCACGGCGCTGGGCCCTGCACTAGAACTTAGTTTATAGTCTTCACTGCCTGTGCTGGCAGAAGGAGATGGAAGGGATGTCTCAGGAGAGGCTGTGGGAGAGAAAACAAACAGGATTAACGTGGATGCTGTTCAGTGGAAAGCAGCAAACCATCCTACAGTCCCCAGAGCAGGAGCTTGGGGGATCCTGGCACGTCCTTCTTTCCTGGTTTGTGAGGGGGCACAGGGTGGACTGGCAGGCACGGACCAGTTCTCCTCAGGGTTTTGCACTTGGGAATGCCCCCCAGTGCTTTTCAATCCTTCATCTCCTTGTCAGAGAGGAGCCTGCAGCCCCGCTGCACCTCCTCTAATCTCCTTTGCTGGAAAGGGGCTTAAAAGCTAAATAAAAGCCACTTAAAATACATGATGCCAACATTTGCATAGCTGAGAAACAGCAAAATACACCAACTACACAAACACACTCCGGGAGGTAAATGATTGTAACTGGCAGAGGGAGGGAGGCTGTGAGTACAGGACATTGTGGTTGCTAAATTCCAACTCCTGTTCTACTTTCCTTTTTCCACAGCCTGGTCCTACAGGGGATAAATGCCTTAACCCCCACCCCAGCAGTGCCCAGGGTGATTGAAGATGGGCTTGTGTTCAGGTCCTGTTGTTTGGCAGCAGCCACAGGGAACTTCTGCCATAAAGAACCATCTGTCCTCTATTGTGGCATCTCCCAGTGCTGCCAAATCCATAGAAACGCTCAATCTTGATTTCTAGCCCTTTTTTTTTCAGCCTTGTGTTGTTTTAGTAGCATCTCAAAACCCCCCTGGGTCATGCTACCATTAAAAATGCTAATTTCTCTTTGGAATCATGGAAAGAAGTCAGCCAGGGGGGTTGTGAGCTTTGATTCCAGTG